GTAAAAGGATAAAGCATTCGACGTTGACCAATTCCTTTTTGGGACGCGCCACGTATTCTTCTCCTACTCAGAATCGTTTGAATGCGGTTAGGCCTATTTAATGACTTGGAGGTCCAGCTGATGTATTACACAAGTTAGCAAGCTACTGCTCCTATCCCAAACAGTCTGGTACCAATTGACCGACTCTGGAGGATGGAAGGCTTGGTTGGTCTGAACGGTGTGCGATCCTGGACTCAACCCTCACGTTTTCGTTTGCGAATACATCTCATTATCATTCAATTTTTATTTCAAATAAAGCGTTTAGTATTAAATGGCTCCATCTCATAACCTTGTCGTGTCGTATCCTATCGGACTAGCTCACCCAAACATCCACTTCTGAGACGTAAACGCATCCAAAATCAATAAACGAAATGAGGGTTACATCTCGCGGGTTTCTTTTTGGTTTCTCCCAAAGTCGCGTCATCTCGTTCTCTTCACTTTCATATTCGATCCACATGTAATCATCGCACACACTGCCTTTGAGCTCACACCTATTAGGATGGTAAGAAAGTCCTGAGCCGTTTGACACTTTTTTTGCTTTACTTTTTTATTCCGCGTACAATGGAATCTACTCAACAATATAATCACCATTGTTACTCACTACAGAGTCCCACCTAATGGGCAGGTCAGCGACCCCCTTCTCCCAGAACTGAGCAGACTGAGAGTCAAAGAAATCGCTGACCGCTCTTTCAACGTCTTCAACTTTGGTGAATTTTTTCTTCGCTAGGAATGCCTTAAGGGGATGAAATAAGTGATAATCAGAGAGGGCAATGTCAGGGGAATAGGGTGGGTGGGGAACCGCGTCCCAGATCAGCTCTTCCAATTTTGCACGGGTCTTTAGCTATGTGGGGCCTGGCGTCATCGTGGAGTAGGTGGACAGAAGTTCGTCTCGGTCGTTTTTCTCGAACAGCGTCCGCTAGTTTCTGGAGCTGACTGGCGTAAATGCTGCCGGTAACGGTATGCCCTTGCGGGAGCAGCTCATAATACAACATTCCTCGCGAATCCCAGAGGCAGCAAAGAAGACAGCTTTTGGGGTGAAGGTCCGATTTTGCTTGTGTCGGCGGGTCTTCTCCTCGAGGGAGCCACACGGCACTGTGCTTGTTAGAATCGTAGAGGACCCAACTCTCATCTCTCGTAATCATGCCTTCCAAAAACCTTTCGGTGCGGACAAAGAAGGAGAAACTGACAAATGGGTACCCGCTGAACCGCGTGCTATCGGTCAAGACATGAGGATCCATCGAGTCGGCACTTTCCTGTGGCGAGGGCGTGGAGGGGACCGAGGACTGTGGGATGGGTGCACACCCGAGTCTTATCACAAGGCTGCGGGTGCTAATCTCCGGATCCTCTTCGACAGCGCCGAGAACGGTGGAGTCTTCCACTGTTTGGGGGCTTCCCAACCTTGACTTGTTTTCGGAAGCCGTGTCTCCTCCTTCGAAGCCTGCGAACCAGAGCTTGGCACTGATGATGGAAGTGGTGTCCCTTCCGATGCTGATAATGTTGACGGTTTCCACTGCTCCTGTGCCGCAGCGCCATTCATTGAAGATGATCGCTCGAAAGTGCTCTTGTGGAATCGACATCATGATTAAAGTTAAAGAAGGCAACCCGGCTATATATACCTACTGCGGAGAAGTATGATCGACAGCGATAATCTATCACGTAGCAGATTCTAGGTATCGATCAATAAGCGAAAGTTCTGGAGCTTTCGAAAAATCGGCTCAGGACTTTCTTACCATCCCAAGTATTTAATCACGGTAAGGCCAAAATTCCGATATTTGTAATTAGCAGACCTTGCCCACTCGCCTCACCTGTTGCAAACATGTGTTCAAGAAACTTCTTAATGGTTTTTTCCACACAGACAACATTACGTAATTGCACTCACCAGCTTTTCTAAGTAATCTCACAGCATTAGCTATTCTCATATAAACGTCTCTTCTAAGATTGAAACCTTCTCCATGATTTACGTCGTAGATCAAATATCGTCTATCACGAGCTACCGAATATTTTTCGCTATTCACCACAGACACAGTATGCTATCGCACAAAGTATAATCTGAGTAAATTAGTAGAATCCACGTCAACACACATAACATCTACACCTGCAAAAAGGCTCTTTTACGCATGTTTACTAGGCCCACTGCCCAAAGACAATGAACGGCTGAAGAAGTACAGGAGAAAGTACTCTGTCACTAAGAATATGCACATTCCACCGGTAAAACATTCATGTAGGACTAGTGAAAAAGAATCACGACATGAGGAAAGATTTCACAATACCGAATCCACGACACAAGCTGAGAAAATAAAAGCAAACAGATCATATATTGCACTTGAAAACTTATTAAAGTACAATTGTAAAGCTTCGAAAAAGCTCAACAATGCTCACTACACGGACTAATTATTTACATACAAGAGAATGGGAAAAGCTCTACTCGTTACCTCGTCAACTAATATAGCGAAATAAAAGCAATTAAGTACACCTAACCGAATGTCAAAATTCGGAAAAGCACGATCTCACTTTTTCGAGATAAACCTCGACGCAGAGGGTCTCAAATGTTTGGAAATTGAACCTGTCGTTGACCGTGGAAGAGTATTACTTACAGGAGAGCCGACGCATGGTTCCTCACGCTGAATAACGTGCAAATGAATACATTCGCAACAACATAACGTTGTATCGCAGTGTAACAAACCTGGCTTTGAGTCATAAGGGATGGTAACCCTGTGAGCGTATTGTAATGTTCAAATGGAGCTTCACCATGCTCTACCTCAAGATAGGAGACTGCTGAAAATGCTAGCAATCAAAACTCAACATTAAATTCAATTTTACAACACTGTTTTCCATGAGTTGTAAAAAGTTTCCGAAACTGAGCAATACTAGTAATTTCGCATAGTTGAGGATAACCTGAAACTAAAGAAAGAAAGGAAAAGAAGAGATATAGGTACACCCCAGAGCCATTTCAGAAACTTTGCACTTTCATGTTCTACAAAACCGTTACTAAAGAAAAAAAGTCGTATCAGCAAGGTATTAGGCATTTGAGAACCATTTCCATAGTCGCTTGTAAACTATGCGATTCGATTACTGACAGCTACTGCAGCACAAAAGCGGTTAGCTAGTATCGCAGAAGGACAACGGCGCAATTACCCCGCTTTTAGTTCCCTCAGTATTCCTAGCTCTAATGAGAGCTGTAGTCAAAGCTTGTTATCTCGTCGCCCTTTTCTAGAAGCATGTTTTCCAAAATACAGCACTTTCCAAATAACTGTGGCCAAGCTTACAAGTGGCGACAACTCAAACACCAGAAAGCAAATGTATCCAAGCACACTACAATCGTATCCAAAGCATTTTCGTAAAATATAAAGATGAGGTTAACAAGATCTTGCTCTATTTCTACACATCCCTGAGGAAGGCGCACACTGCGTGAATAAGAACACCAAAGAAACTAAATGCGAGGCAAAACGATATAGTTCCGAATGTAAGCTCACATTTCGACATCACACGATTAGTGGCTCCATACATCTCGCTTGCAACCTTTATTTTGTGGATCCACCTGAAACGAAGGTATTTTCATAGTATTCCATAACCAAGATAATTAAACTCACATGCGCATATCATTCTGGTTATAACATGAGAAATGGTGCTCAACTGGTGGTCTTGACAGGCGAAAAACACTGAAGGAAAAAATTGAAGTACCACGAAAAGTACTACACATGTTTAAGATAACAAACGCACAATTTTTTCGATGTCTTTAGCTCGGGTTTCGTCAGAAACAGTACATTTAGCCACGTTAATGATCATATCTGCGTGACGAGTCTGAATATCGAGATTATGGCTGGTTAACCTGCTGTGATGAACACTTTACAGAAGCTTCCCAAATACATACAAATTGCGTTGGATAAATGCAAAGAAAGGGCCCACGCAAGCACATCCAACACTTCGGCCACTTGTTGGTAACCTCTTTGGCAAATAACTCTTTTGCGGTTTTCCTGAAAGCTACACGCTAAAATTCTGAACCAACAACTATCACTTCAAATGAAAAATAAACCGGAGTGTAACAGCAAACCTTCTTCTGATCCAGCCTTCGAAGGTCTTTTCCGCCGTTTTCATATCGGGAGTGCTTGGTGTTGGTGGAGTGTCATCAGCATTCCATTCACGTGTTGGTGTGAGACGAAACGGTGTTGGGCTAGACATGGAGGGTATGGAAGTAAGTGACGCTGGACTGGGCAAGACCCATGGATCATCGCTACCAGAAACACTTGTGAACCTGAATGAAACGACATAAACAAAGCAAAAATCTGTAATTGAGTTACAGATGCCAACTTTTGATAAAAGGTATTCAGAAGGGGATACCTAGGTGAGTCCAAGGTTAGACCTGATAGGTTGGAATCACCGGCAGGTGCTCGGAATCTCTGCAATGACGCCTCTTCATAAGGTGCACTCCAGTCAGGATCAGAGCAGCTGGGTTCTGTGATATTGAGTTGGTTCAATTCCGGAGGTTCAACAATGGAAACTTCAGCAAATTCCGCCGGGCCTGCAATTTTGTCAAGTTCAAAAAATGATTCTCGCGAAAGACAATTCATAGGGTCTTGCGTACAAGGAGGGTCAAAAAATCGATTCTGCTCGTGACGCCAACCAGCAATGTTTACTTCGAAGGAGGGAACGGGGCAGGTGGAATTCCCCAAACTAATATTCCCGAGATCCCGATAAATAGGAGCAGGTCCTTGTCATTGCCTCCACCTTCACCAAAATATTAGGCAATCTGTTATATATTACTGCCAACCCCAAAATGTCTAAATAACTGCATTACACTGCCGTATCTGTGCAACTTCCTCAGCATCTTTCTAGTCTCATAGATTGGGCAGTGCAATGAAAGGCTTCGGCAACGGCTTCAGTTGGAGTTTCATATCTAGAACCAGGAAGAGCGCTTTCGTCTTTCTGTAGGCTGGATGGAAAGCGAACGTCACTTCTACATCTAACCCCGGTGACGACATTTTGCTTATTCTGCTATCATCCGTAACATTGCAGCATACCCTCTTCCAGTAGAGGTGGGCACTTGGTGCATGATGTTGAACAAACGCTCATTTTGCTAGAATCGATGGTGTGGAATCTGATAAAAACTACAACCCGAGGTGCCTTGCCGTCAACGCTGGACCAAGTTGGCAGCCATGCGTGGGCAAAGCTTACCACCAGAAGGACTGTGCGTGAAAATATGGGGAGAACAAACGTTTTCGCCTCCCTTGTGAATGTTTCCACCTTACATCTGCAATGATAGTTGAAGGAACAAATACTCACATCCAACATTGAAGGGCAACTGTTCGGCTATAATGTCGTCTTCCACTTCCTGTACGAGCTTATTATCTATAAAGGATCTCACATATCCATCAGGCTGATGTCGCATCGTGCGAGCCCGACGGACTATTCGAGGAATAGCGATCGGGCCTTCATGATTATCGGGTGAGGGATGACTGAAATATTCGCTTAATTAAAAAGCTTCAACTCCTCAAACTCCTGTACGATTTAAAGTAGAGAAAATCGCATTTCATAGCTTCTTGAACAAGGGAAACGAAGTTCCGACTCACCCAATCAAATCCAAGAGATCCCAGCTTACATAAGAACGCTCATCCTCCTTCAAGGAAGAATTCCCTACGTGGACTTCCAGCACAAAAAGATGAACGCCTGGTGGTTCGAAGCTTTTTCCTAAAATCGTTCAAAATATTCGCGAAGCATTTTAAGTTGAACTCAAAACCCATACAAACAAACCCTTTCATCTCCATCAAATTGAGCAAATCGCCAATAAATGTCGAAGATCGACGACGATTAAGCGGATAGTTGATTTCCTGAACATATCGATCAAAATCTAAGAAACATAGTGAGTAGCCACAACATAGTTCCTCAATCACTGCAGAAAAATATCTAACCTTAAACAGCTGCTTTCCTTTTTCAGCAGTGTCCGTAGCTTGACTTCCAGGAATCATTTTAGCCAGTGGGCGATTGGGCTTCACTGTTTTCTTAAATGGAAGTGGAACTGAATGGCGAGGTCTCTTATTGACAACAAGGTGCAGTTCGGTGTCCGTGGAAGAACCAAGACGCTGTGCAACACGAGTCAGGTCCCATCCAATAACCTTCAATATAAAAATATACACTAGAGAATGTAAATAAGGGATGCGCAGCCAAAACTTGTGACACTTCTCATTGTCGAAAGCAACTCACTGTTTTGCCATTGATGAGCATGATTTCGTCACCAGCATCGATTCTACCACAGAGGTCTGCAGGAGACCCTACTTTTACTTCACTGATCACATGCACACCACGATAAGATGACTGCAGATTAATACCCTGGAAATGGAAAAGTCAGACCGCTTGTCTGCAGTTGGTATTGGTAACAGTGGTCACCAACTCACCCAATTTGTGTTAACATCATGTCTACGAAGTAGTGCTCGCTCAGTATATGCAGTGTACAGCACTAAAGGGTCATCAATGTCCCGTACAATGCTTTCGCATTGTTCCTTGAGATTATTGATTTTCTGAAACGAGAAATGGAAATGAAAGCAATGCGATCCGAGAGCGATTGCAGGGTCGAAACTGTTAGATTCATAGAGGTTGTAGCAAATTTTTTTCCAGTGAGAGATGAAAATCTTCGAATCTGATTCAAGACGTTTTCCCTCTCGTATTTTTTCCTTGGGCATCTTTCGGTTGTGCACTCTAGCTTGATCGCCATTCATGGCTTTATCGATAGAAATATTTGAAACGTGTTATATTAGAATGGAATCATAGCGCTGAAACTTGACCACGGTATCGATCAGCTGGAAAGGTTAGTGTTGCTCATTCTTCTGAAGCATTTTGGCGAGTTGGTTAATACGATTATGATCTAGGCACCAAAATTTGGACACTAAACCGATTACTTCTCACATTGATATAGTTTGCGACATCTTTATATTCAGCGGCGGTCGAAACACACCTGGATGATTTCTGGAGCAACGCCGAACAAGGATTTCGGTTGAACGTTCACACTACGCACTAGATCCCAGATAGGTCATCGAGATGCGATTTCGAATTTCAATGTATTGCTTGATATCATCAAAGGGGCTTCTAAACGAAAACCAAGATTCTGAACCAAATACGGGTATAGAGGGAGAAAAAACCCGATCACGGTCGTGTACATTTTGTTCACATATCAATTGATCGATAAGCTTACCTATCTAACCAAAATACCAGCTTCTTTACGTTTTCTACCAGCACAGACATCGAGAGGGAAATGCTATTTAGAATAGAAACAACATGAACTCTTGTCAGTGGCTAAAATGAGCAATTTCAAATAAGTGTAGATAAGGTATCATAGAATAGTTGTGTTAGAAGAATACCTTCTCATCACGGCAATGCACAGCCTTTTCCAGCTCATGAATGACCGCTTTACAAGCCACGACAACCTTCATTGAATGACTTTGCAGGTTTTCGGAAGGAGCTTCAGTGCACTGAAAATGTTGTCGTTTTACATAAAATGATGACAGGTCCAGCATTTATCAACTCCTTTCTAGGATGTGCTACGTATTACACCTCGACACAATCCTCGTAGGATTTGAATGCATATGTAAAATAACTTGTAGAGACCAGCCAACATCAAAGCAGTGTTTTCATCCTTCTAGACTGAATCCTAGAATCTGAACCAGTTATCCATCGCGGCGGAATGAAAGCTTGGTTGGATCCAGAATCGATATTCATTCAGAACTTGACATCCGAACTGTGTGCGTGGTATGTAGCTTTTCTTTTCGCTCCATCGCCCCCGCTCATACTTTTACATTTGCGTTTTTCCAAAAAAAAAGTTGCATGACACTAGTCAAAAGGCAAAAAATTAAGACTCGTTCCGAATATAAACTCAGGAAACTCTATTCAAGAAACTATCGCGTTCTCTACGATCAATCAATTTGAGATGAGCCTCTCACTTCGAAAAAAAGGAGTACTGTCGGCGGAGGGAAGTGTAACTAGTCAAACCAAACCTCCCACGAACTTCTAACAATAAGAGCACCGGCACCTAAGAGGGAACTATAAAATTATTCAAGCATAGGAAAACCTTCAAAAGTCACTGCATAGACCAAAGAGATTTTATTGCGATACTGGGTAGAATTCGTGACACACCACGATGAGACTCATCTCAACTTTTCTAATTTTCCAAATTAACCCCAATTCCGAATAGTTGCAGAATCAGAAATACAGACGTCGCCTATGTTTAATCAATTTACACTTTAAAGAGGCAAAATAAACAGTAGCGGTCAAAGAAAATTTCAAACTTATTTTCAGATCTTTCTCTGGAGGAAAGAAATAAAATGCTCGAAAAAGCGTTTCGGCGAACTTGTCCCCTAGTAGTTGTCTGCAAATTACTCACAAAATAAAGTAACAGTTGCACAGCTTGAAGAACAGTCTTCCGCGGGCCAAGAGCCGAAATTCCAATATTGGCCAACATTTCGTCATCGATGAGATGAAGATACTTTCCACTTCTGATGTTATCCCGTATCGTTCCAAGATATGGATTCATAGCATCACCAAGGCCTAAAAATTATAACAATCATTTGGAGCTAAAAATCAAAGTCAAGCTGTAACAGTTATTAATGGCTTGTTCGAACCAACTACTACGCCTGGAACTACTGAGAGAGTCGCACACAATAAAACTGCGAAATGGACACAAAATTAGGGAGAAGATACACTGTGATGGACGTTAAGTGGTTCCTAAGGCTTGAACGGAAGAGGATTTAGCTGGGTTCCGATATCACTACATTATTGTCTAAAGGTCTACGCACAGGCTTCCTAGTTTTAAGCCAATAGCGGTGAATTCGGGCGACAATAACTAGTATAATTTCCACCACCCATTATAAATTCATTGCATATAATATCACCGCACCCGTTATGGCTCCCCCACTTTCTTCACGATTCGGGGCGCGGC